AAGCGCGCGGTGATTAATGCAAGCACATGTGTCTCTAAGCGTTGGTGGAGCCGACAAGCAGCTATACAAAATGTCCAACTATTTTTTACGCCCATTCCGTTGAGTCTGCGCTCCCTTTGTAATTTTTATAAACTCGCGCGCGCGGGCGATCCTTCCTCTGCGAATGCAACTGTTCACACGAGATAATTATAAACAATATTCTGTAAATAATGCACATGCAATTGTGCGTATCATTGATCACGCGAAATGGACAAATTCGCAACCTCCGGCAATAAAATCTGAAACGTGCTACCACTTTCGCTACGCTCTCTTGCAGAGATATAAATTTGTCGATTGCATATCACACAGGCGAAATCAGCGTCATGATCAGCGCGACTTAATCGCGCAAATTAGAAATGAACAGCGCAGAGATCAGATAGAATCTAATCGGATCTCGCATTGGGGCGCGCCATTTCTATGAAAGCGGATTATAATGTATATAATATATACACATACGTGTATACAGGGTGTCCGCAATCTTTTGGGAACGAAAAATTATGATGATTAATCAGATCAAACTGATGAAGATGAGAAGAAAAGTCATGTAGCATTTTGCAAAAATCGCAATAGTTATTAAGTTATTAATGATTGAGAATGACCACATCTGGAGAGGCTCTTTTAATCGATAACTTGAAAATTTGCATATTTACCTGCAAAATGGTAAAGGACTCTTTTGTTCGGAATGACCTATCTGTGATTATATGACGACTATTGTGTCTAGCGATAGATATGAGTATATTGAACTTTGAACTCTGAATTTTGAACCTGTCGCTAAAAAAATATATATATATATATATATTATATAATATAATACATAAATAATATTTATATATTATTTTTATATAAATATATATATATATATATATGTATATATGTTTTTGTTTTACGACCGTGAAAAGGGGGAACAAATATCGTTTCGCTCAACAACGCGGGCGAAATCCCCGAGAAGAGAAAGATATCTTGCCGCGCATATTTCTGAAAGTGTCAAGGCGACGCGTCACCCTGGAGGTCACGTCAGTGTCGCGGCTGATGCCGCGGCCATCCCCGGGGACGAGCCGGGATGTATCCTGGAGCGCGCGTGCCGTTGTATACCTTCCGCGGTGTGTCTCGTCACATTGTGTGTATGCGCGTGCGTATGCGTGCGTGTACGCGTAGGTTGCCGCGTCGTACACATAACACGCGCACAAGAGTGTCGCGCACGTCCGGGAACGTCTGAGTGCCGTCGACTGTATGATGGATGCGTCGGGTTTGACGTAACGTAATAGGCACAGACACGGAAGGGGGGGGGTGGTACGAAGAGGAGGAGGAGGAGGGGAAGTGCACTCACGTTCTTCTTTGTTTGAATATTACGCGCCCGGCGCACCGCGAAACACTTGCACGCGAAAGTGCACGTGCAAACAGCGGCGCAGCCCTCATTTTGCCCGAGGAGGTCCCGCCGCCCGGCGCGATTTAGGGGAAGATACATCGATCCCGAAGTGCATTCTTCGCAAAGTGTACCTCGCAGCATCCGCTGTTCTCTTTCACTCCAGCGCGAGGCTCTCGAGGCCGGCTGTAGGCACCGAAAGCGACGACGGGAGGCTGTCTCGCGCGGTTCGCTCACGACATATCTGATAATCATGATTCTAAGCGGATGCGAAATCTCACGTGAGCATAAACCGGAGCGACAGCGGACGGTGAACCGTCCGATCAACGCGTTGTGCCTACCACCGTATGATTATTTCAAAGTAGCTTCCTGAACTAGGGTTGGAATAACAAAACACTTACGGAATAGGTAAACGCAGTCCACGCAGCACGACATTCGTGCTGTCCTTGTCGATCCCGGATTTGATATTGAACACACATACATGTATATAAATTTAATTCGTATATATATTTAATTCGTGACACGTGATTGGTCAAGTATGTGAATTGATACGACGTAGCAACGTCAGAATGCCAGTCACCGGTGACACTTGTCCACCGCGAAAGACATATTTGATATTCGTGAAAAAATCAGGAGATCTGGCAGTTTTTATAGTGGATGGTACTGTAGTATTAACGATAGGAACTGCATATATATATATATCGTAAGCATTAATTTTTGGTCAGGACGACAAGAAAATAGAGTTGGTTCCGCAAATAATTATAATTTTAGTGACATTGGCTGCGTTCAGCAGAACAAAGTGATCAGTGAGCGCTTAGTGACTCTCGCTCCTGATTGGTAAATACTTCTGGGTCTATGAAGAATTTAAAAGAATGCTCCAATCACAGACAATAATCACTAAGCGCTCTATGATCACTTTGTTCTACCGAACGCGGCCATCAACTGCTTTTTCTCTCTCATTTAACGTGTTAAAGATGAATCGGCAGTTATTTACGCGACAATATGGGAACATTCATGAGGAATTAATGCCGCAATTTAATATACAGTTTGTATCTGATCTCTACTGACAAATTCGTGGGGTAAATTTTATATTGAAAAATAATTAAAAGTCTTAAAAACATATATCTGCCAAAACTTGGCTTTTGAGATCAAATTAATTATTATCAAATATTAATTTTCAATTTTCAATCGTCAATTTTAGTAATTACTGGGTATTAATTAAAAAGTCATTCATTATGATGTTAAAATATTTTTACCGTTCGTGATGAGTTTGCTGTTGTAACAGAAATAATTAGACAATTTTTATATATGACAGTACGTATCTAGGTATTTAATTATAAAATACTATTTAATAAGTAAAACATATTTCTTTTTAATTGAGATTACAGCAGCTATACATGTCCGAAATTTTCAAGGCATCTCAGAACATGAAGTAATTAAGAACTCTTCACTGATTTTTTAATGCAGAATCTATTCTGTGAGTCGGGGTCGGTAGAGTTCAGAGAGAAAGAGAAAGAGAGAGAGAGGGAGAAAGAAAGAGATAAAAGAAGGGAAAGAGAGAAAAAACGAGAAAGAGGGAAATGGGAGAGAGAAAAATACATTCTATGTATATCAAATTGGAAATATATATATATTTTTTTTATTATATATATAATCAAATTATTATATATATAATTATAAAATTATTAAAATTAATTAATAATTAAAATTATATATATATATATATACATAAAATAAAATTTACCTCTGAATATATGTATACATATATATTTCCGAAGATAAATATGACAAAGTTATGAGGCATCGAGAACATTCGCAATGTATGTTCATACTTATACGATGAAAACCGCTTCAGAGATATTCCACAGCTTTATCGATTTATGCTCGTAGTTGTGTGGCCGACAAAGCAACGACATCATTTTCATGTAGTTCCACCGGCTTGTCTAAGTCTCGATCTATTCGCGTGTTCGCACAAGTTGGGTTATAGACACCGCCAAGACAGACGTCAGCGATGCGAGAGAGCTCTGCGAGTTTCTCCATCGCAATTATAATTCTTACGACGTCGTTCTTCCTGTCTTCTTTATTTTTTTTTCTTTTCCTTTTCTTGTCATTTCCTCGGCCGTTGTGTTTTTCAACGCTTTCGTAACTGTAATCCCTTCACATTTCGCATGCTGACAGGTGTTTCGTTTGCTTCGTGCATCGCATGGCCAAAGTTCGCATTCTTCACGACTCACTGGAAAATATCGCGGCCACAATCGATATCCAGTAAACTACATCTGTCGTGCCGCCCTTGTACTTCCGTGTTAATGTCGAGCGACAGAAAGATGCAGGAGAACAAGCCGAGTCACTTCAAATTTCACGTCGCGCTGAACACGGCAACACGGCCAGCTAGGTTTCCGAAAGCGCGATGTAGCTAAAAATTCACTTCCTGCCCGCAAGGATTCTCCGCGCTTATCGCGTGTGAAGCGTAAAAACGCTAAACTCGTTAAACCACCACGCGGCGATATTGATATCGCGCTCTCTCGTGATAACGCATGTTCAACGAGTCCAGGAGTCGGAAGAGCGAAAAATCGATACACCCGTTCGAACGCGACGCGCTCGAACTTCATCTTCCGCGTCACTCCCGAATACAGATTCGCATCAATCGCCGTCGCGATACCTTCTCGAACGTGATCGCGATACGCGCGATGTGGCGGAGCGCTCGACCGCGGATCAGCCGCGAGCGCTCGGGGGAGGAGCGAAAAAAAATAGCGCAGGAGCTAGGAGGCGGGAGGAAACGCGAGAGGGGCGAGAGGACGCGATCGGCGTATCGGCGATCAATAAATCAGGGCGTGTGCACCCTCGTCCTTCGGGGCGCCCGAGGGTGGCACCGTCGTCGTCGTCGTCGTCGTCGTCGTCGTCGTCGTCGTCGCCGCGCGCGTCTTGACGGCGCGAAATAAAATACGACCCAATTTCACGCTGCAAGCCGCGAAACACAGCGGTATTGATTCGATTTCCATGCCGGCCGAAGTCCTCTCCACGCACGCCGGTGAAGCGACCGGCGCCGGCGAATCGCGCGATGAAGAGCAAGCCGCCGAGGGACGCGCACGAGATAGCGATTCAAAGGAGGAGAAGACAGGCGCGTCTCGGACCGAGGGTTCTGCTGCGTGCGAGGGAGATGCGAACGGAACCTAAGGGTACATATCGAGCGACGAATGTCAGACATTCAGCGTGCACGTCACGTAAAGGTGGAGTCTTTCTGTCTCTCTCTCTCCCTCTCTCTCTCTCTCTCGCTCTCTCTCTCGCTCTCTTTTCCGTCGCTGAAGTGAGGCGAGAGAAATAGAACAGAGACGTCGTCGGCGGTGGTATCGACGGGACAAGGAAAAACGGCCGAACGGAGGTGGAAGCGGGGAGGGGGGGACTAAGGTGTGTAGGTTGGATGTAGTGGAGGAACGGAGGGGGGGGGGAGGGAGTTTATCCGGCGGCCCTACGCACACTGGCATAATTAAGAAAGTTCCGACCGGGAGTTTTTCCCGGTGTCTTCCGCTATTGTTATTCTTGGCTGGTAACGGCGCTAATTAAGCCGGCCGAATGGCGCAATAGTGAATTCCCGGCGAAAGATTTACGACTGTCATTGCGACGCGACGCGACGCGACCGAGCGAAGAGATTAACGTTATACGAGCGCGCGCCGCTCCGGCGAAGACGCGAAAGCGACAGTAGTCGCGCGAGCCAACATTAACATTCGCCCGGCACGCTCAGTCCGCCCCGGGAACCCGTTTAAATTGGTCGCATTATGCGAGAGCGTACCGTCGACTCGCCGCCGCCGGGCGGAAAAGCACGCGGCCTCGATTCGCGCCGTGAAAAACGCAGCCGGCTGAAATGCGCTAACTAACGTAAATGAATTTCGAATGTTTCGCGTCGCGGCACGGCAGACGCTTCGAAATCAGCCGCGGGAGCAGCGCATGCATCTCTCTCTCTCTCTCTCTCTCTCGTGCGGCAGAAGGAGAGAGAGAGAGAGAGAGAGACCGCGCGCGCGCGCGCGCATCGTATTACATTTATGTGCGCCTCGTAAAATCACGCGAATGCCATTTGTTCTCGTAAATTCGCCAGTTTAACACACGCGCGCGCTGCGCTGCATAAAAATGGATCGCCGTGGAATTGCGATTTTCCTAAAGTAACGTCTCGTTTTCCTCAAAGAGAAAAAAATCCTATTAATAAAACTCATACAGGAGTGACTCCTGTTAACGTCCTTCTCCGTCTCTCTTTCGCCCCCTCCCGTGATATATCGGCGACGTTCACGGACAAGTAAGTAACGTTTCAATTTACGTACTCATTCTCGCGTTTTCTTTTCCGCTGTAAATGTAGAACGGCAAGCGGGAGACGTGCGAATCGCCGTGCCAAAGTCACACGCGATAGAGAGAAAGCGATCTGTTGATTAATCTCAATAGAAAATATTCCAGGCGGCGTGTCTCTCCATTTTCGCGGAGCATTCGCGGACAACTTGGATCCCCCCCATCGTCAAGCGAGACAACCCGAATAATTTGGAATAACTGAACGGAATGCAACATCTGACGAACTTCAATCCCCATCCGCAAGGGAGGTTTACCATGCAATGATAACAGAAGCGCGCGCGCAGATTCGCGGGCGGGCACAGTGAACAACGAATGTGCGGCGTAATCGCGTTCGCGTTGCGCACGAACTTTCCTTGATAAATCGCCTGGTGGGCGAATCGGCCTGAACGCGAATCGCGAATGTGCTGTTCGAATTCGTTACGCATTTTCCGAATCGTAACGAAGCGAAAGTTCGCGTACTCGGCTCGTCCGCTATTCGCTCGTTCGCGCACGCTAACTTTCGCATGATATGATCTCGGTTTTACGGACAGTTGAACTAATATAAGGAAATGGCGGATATCCCTCGGACACGCCGAAGCGGACATCGTCGAGCCGTCGCCGTCGTTTTGCGCGAAATACGTTTCCCCTCTTTTTCGTTTTCGTCGTTTCACCTAACGTCGCTCGCGCATGCATTTAGAAGCGCACCGCAGACACATTTCGACGAGGTATCGGATTTTCGCGACGCCCTGCTGAAATTCTGCTGAAAAGTTATTTGTCGTTTCGGCTTACTTATTCGCAATTCATACGTCGCCGCCGCCGCCGCCGTCGCCGCGCTCCGAATCGACTTTTATACGGTCGATATGCACGCACCGGTAATGTTACGCACATGTCGGTGTGCGAGATTTTTTCCTCTTTCGATTACATCTCCCGTGCAGCTTTCCATGCGAGAAACTCGATTTTCATGCAAACTCGCAGAATCCTCAAAGCGAGGCATTCAGCCAAATGTACGCTGGGATATTTACGACGGATAATTATGAAGCTCGCGAATAGGAAAATTTTTTAAGTGATGAAAAAACCGCTACCTCGGAGCCCCGTGTTTTCAGGAGATTTCGCAAACGCAGCGCGGACGAACTGCAACGATGGGGGAGAAGTTGCACAGGGAGAAAAAGAAGAAGCCGTTAGGAGGCCGGCCGGCGATTATTAATCATTCGATGCGCGTTGCACTCGATTAACACTACAATGTTCGAGTGGTCTATGTATACGCAAGCTTATCACAAAAGTTCGTCGTAAGCAGCAAATTTATTCAAAATACATTCTGAAGCTCAGCACGTTTAGTGCCCGTCTCAAGAATATTAAAACAAAATCAAATCCGGTTTGCCTTCTTTCCTGCATACAGTTTAATTTTCGTAACATTTTCAAGAGAAGAATAAATTTTCTTCTTTTGAGTACACGATAGCGTGAGCTTTCCTCAAATTTACGATGCGTATATTTTAAGACTATATTTTAAGACTATATTTAAGGGTATATTTCAAGGGTATATTTTAAGGCTATTATCAAGGAAATATTCCTTCTTGAAGATAGCCATTGCTTGAAAGAAGAAGAATGAACGGAGTAATCGCTTGCCTCAGCAGCAGAATGACATTTTTCTTCGCGTAAAACCGCCAGTTGGACAAAAATGACTGATTTGTAATTTCTTGCTCGGAATTACTCAAACGTGTATAACAACGCATTTAAGATCTCCAACGGACGCTGAGGAAGACTGCCCTCGCAACGCGGTTTTCCTCTTCCTTTCTTCAGAAGGGAGAAACCCGTTGTGCGGCGACCGCTGCGTTGAGAAATGACGGGTTGAACGCAATCGCGAAATCGTCAATCGTCAGCAGATCCAACGTTGACCGTGTCCGACGTCGAGTGGATTTCCGCGAAGCCGTCGCGAGTAAATCAGGCCGCGAGTCTAAGAACGGATATTATTCTCGTCTCATAACGCCGCGCAACGTTGCGTCGTTCCTTATACAACACGAAGGCGGCGGAAATCTGTCGGATAAAAGCGCAGGCGGTACTTTTCGACGCGAACTATCTCGAGACGAGAGAGTCGCACGAACGGCCTGAAACTAAGCTTCGTGCCGCATGTAGGACGACCCGATAACTATGGTAACTACTTGCCGCAGTCAGACGGAATTCTCATGCACACCCGCGCTTGTCCGCCTGCGTGTGTGTGTGTGTGTGTGTGTGCGGTTGCGAGCGTGCGCCCGCGAGCCCTGTTGAATTCAGTAAGGTGAACGCACTCGACCTTGTCGAACATTGTTGCAATCACGTCGGAAACGCGCGTGTACGCACCGATACGTCGGCACCGACGCCACCAACACACGACGAAGTCGTTCGCTAAACATTCATGAGGCTCGCGCGCGCGCGCGCGCGCGCGATGTCGCCGTTAAATCGGAACGGGAACACAGCCGCTTGATTCGCCAGCCTCGCTCTCGCTCTCGCGCGCGCGTTTAACGAAATACGCATGCCGTATTCATGCAGCATTATTATCGGCCAGCGTTTTATATATTGCGATATTGTTGCCAATAATGCGCGCGCCGGATATCGCCGTGCCGGCGTAATGTACATCTGTTCCAAAGGCCATTAATATTAATTCCATTATCGAGTGGCACATGCAGCTAAATGGCCCGATCGTGTATAATTTTTTTCCCCTCCCCTTCCCCCCTCTTCTTTTTTTTCGCCGACGATAACTAATAACGCCGATAATATTTCAGCTCCAGCTCCAGCGGGTCCTCGGAGGAATACCGCGATATTTTCGCGGGGAATCATTTCCTGCAGAACCGCGCGCGCGCTCGCCACTGCGCGCGTCGGGCTTTCCGGGCTGTCGAGTGCGAGCGAACTTTCCGGCGGGAAGGCAACATTGATTCAGGTTAGCAACCAGTCTCCGTGAATTGACAAATTGCCCGTGACTCGAAGAGCGACGCGGATCGAAAGAAAGGCGTCGTAAGGCCGGCCGTAGGTGAAGGATAATATGTCGCGCGGAGGGAGCTTCTCTCTCTGTCTCTTTCTCTCTCTCTCTCTCTCTCTCTCTCCCCCTTCCTGCACCGCGAGATCGACGGAGAACTCGCCGGAGAGAAGTGACGGGGCAGAGCAAGGGACCATAGAGCCGATAAATAAATCCGTAATCGCGGCGGTCCCGCAGGTTTAGCCTGAATGGCTCGATTGGCTCCTAAAGGTGATTTTCAGGGGAGGAACGGCCAAGAAGAGCTCTCTTCATCTCTCCTCTCACGAGCGCGCTCGGCCATCGAGTACAACTACGCCGAAGGGCTTTATCTTTGCCGCCACCGTCTCGTCCTTTCCCACCTACCCTTTCGCGCCCGACTCTCGTCTCGCTCTTTCTTTCGCTCCTTCTACCATTTGTTCTCGCAGCGTCGCCCGATGAATCCGCGTGCGTGAAAAATGACGACGCGTGTAAGAAGAGAGCCTGTAATTAACTTCTCGCCTCCTCGCCTCGTCTCGTCTCGCCCCACCTCGGCTGGACCGCGCTTCATTAGTCGTTAACGCGGGGTGAATGTAATATTCATACGTGCTGGAGAAGACACGATCGCGCGGGAAGATGAATGTTGATTGTTTGTGAGCCGCGTGCTGAATATGAAATGCGTAGGTGTATCTGCAAACTTGTCAACACTTTGACCTGGGTCGGACCTGTTTCGGAAAAATGTTGTTCATCCGCTGACAGAAATCGAGAACTCATTCGGATGGTGTCTAAAGAGACCGAGATTTTCCTCGCGCATAAAATCGTATGCATTTATACATACAATCTACATATTGCACTTAATATTTTTCTTAGCAAAATTTTACGCAGCACCTATAATATTAAGTTTGTGTGAGCTGTCATTATCCAGAAGTTCTTCTTAAAGTCTTTCTTTTCTCTACACGTCACGTGCGACGTGCAGTCGATCAGGCAGCTTAAAACACCAACTAATTTCACACACAAATGTTAAAACATTACGTCAAGTTAGAAAATTAAGTCTCGCCGTATTAATTACTGCCCGGCTTCGTTCGGCTCGTTTATTCTCTAGCTCGCGTTCGTATTCTCCACTTCCGTAAGAAAGTTGAATTAAATGAATACCGCTAGTGAGGTCGCGTGCGGCCGCCGGCGGGTCTAATCGCCGAATCTGTTATAACGTATATCGCCGCACGTTCGCGCGATTCTAAATTCACCGGGCGACAAGGTCGAATTAGCATGCAGACTCCATAGTACATACTCCCCGAGAAATACGGCTCTAATACCTTACTTTCATTTGCGTAGAAATGAATTGTTCGTATCACCGGCCTTGCGCTAAGCACAGAGATAAGCCTGGTAAACGAGTAGCAATTACCGTACTCGTGGCTACCGCCGCTCGCTGCATTCGCGGTTAATCGTCACTGCTGATGACAATATACAGAGTGCCGCGTAATCATCCAGCGCCTTTCCGAATATATTTAATTACGAAATGGATTCGGAGGAACGGCAGGGCGCTCGTATCCGATAAAAAATAATTATACGTGAAATTACATATGAAAATTTTATCTTCGTATGGACGTATCTAAGCACACATATAATTACACATGTCCGCACTGGAAAAAATGTTGTTGTACGAAAATACAGTCAAAGTAAGTTGCTCATCCTTGTAGGATATAAATATGTAATTAAATAAATTTCTTCTTTTTAACTGCGTTTTCTTCAATAGGCATATATAATGTATAATTATATATAATATTTGTCGATGGGCTATTTGCGGAAAATTTCATATGTGGATAATATATAATAATAAATAATTTATATATAATGATGTATCTTAGAATATTATATACAATATAACCCTTTTGATTGGGTATTTGCGGTAAATTGAGAGCTTTCAGTGAATTAAGCCTCAAATTAAAAGAAATCGTGAAATTTCGACTGTCAGTTACTTTCAAACGCTTATTTTACTGCTTATCAAATATGTGATTGAAGGTCCAATCGTTAGAATCTATTTCCGAATGAATTTATTTAAGATCTAGTAATTCGGATATTTATATCATGGTGGGTGTCGGAAGCTCTCGGAAAATTAATGAATCCTTACAAGATTTTCCTCTAAGAAGAGATTTATATTAAAAAATCGTCGCCGATTAAAAAAACTAGAAAAGACGGTCGACGTTCGCGAGACACCGCGTGTGCCGACCGCTGCGAATTATATTTCTACACGTCGCTCATACACACGCGTATTGCGTGCACACACGCGCCATGAATCGTCGTTCGTAATTTCTTTTCCGTAATCTGCCGGACACGGCATGAGCCTCGCGCGCAGCTTACGAGCTGGTACGCGCGCACGCCGCACACGCTCGAGAGCCTCCGTCTCTCTGGCTCGTTTCTTTCAATAATAGAGACCATAATCGCGCGTATCCCACTTCCTTTTAAGCCGGATAAGCTGCGACTCGCCGCTGGCGAGAAAGAAAATACCCGGCGCGCCGAGCGGAGAAACTTTTTCAATCTGCCGTCATTATGTGCAAGTTTAGTTCGCGTTGGTTCACCTCCGGTTAACTACTCTCTCCTCTCCGGCCATGTGCCGCTTTTGCCGATGCTCAAACTAATTTTCAAGGAGTCCAAGGAGCGCGATGGAGCCTCGGAGCCGCGAGGTACTGCGAGAAAGAGCCGTTGGTTCTTTCTCTTTTATCCATGAAGCGACGCCCCCCCCTCCCCGTGCCGCCGCCGTGTGCCGGAAGCTGAAAGTAATTCATTAAGGCACACGACTTCCGAAGACATTTTATTCGCGCGGTCTTTAGCGTGACCGGGAGCCACCCGTAATCCCACGAATATCGTCGCATGGCGTTCGCCGTTCGCCAGTGGGGGTGAAAAAGGGTGAAACCCGCGTGGGCGGCTGCTGATTTATACGCCGCGCGCGCGAGCGAGCGCCACCGGCGGATATACGCGCCGTACTTTATGCGAGACATAATCATCGCGGGAAAAATTATAGTCTCGTATTATCTGGGCAGCTTTTTAATGAAGCGTAATCATGTTGGCCGTTTACCGCTGGGAAAGTCGCTGGGAGTTAATAAGAGCCCGGCTTACACAGACACCGAACCTCTTGAGACTCTAAATTTCTCGGCCGCGTGTAAAGCGCTCCGCCGCGACTATGAAAAATAAAGCTTCGAAACTGGCGCGTTAACAATGTTGAGTTATGCGCGAGTAAAACTTGAAGAGTGTTGAGCGAGCTAAGAGCCGCGGCGAGTCGCGCGCGCGCGCGCGCGCAACAGTACGTTCATTATTGTATGATATTTTAATACACAAAGGCCTCGGCTAATAAAGCTTCCCCGTCAGCGAGACACAAGCGCACTCCTCTCTTTCTTGCCCTCCCGTTGTCCTTGCTTCTGCTCTCTCGCGCGGGTTCCGAGGCTGCAGCTTTAATTATCGGAGATACGATGCGTACATTCGAAAATTAAACGTAATTCCAGTCACGGGAAATATTAATCAATGGACGACTCCTTGAGGATTCATCCAGTCCGGGGGGTTCGTTCTCCTCCCTGTTGGTCGCCACGCTGAAAGTACATGCAAGAGGAGGAAAAAAATAGAGAGAGAGAGAGAGAGAGAGAGAGAGAGAGAGAGAGAGAGAGAGAGAGAGAGGAGAGAGAATAGCCGAAGAAGACCGAAAACAAATTACAGCAGTCGGTCTCCTTCTCCTGCACGCGGGATCCCGCAGCGTAATTTTCCCAGCAGTCGAGCCGCCCTGGCAAGCTTTTCCTCGTCTTCTTTTCAGACTGACGCTGACGAGACACTTTCCTTTCTATAGCGAAGAATCGTTCGTTAGTCGTAAACCGCCGTCGAAAGGCTCTCCCGGCGAAATACGTATTACGTGACGTGCCACTGAAAAACCTCGCCTGTAAAAACCTCGCGGGAAAGTTAACATCTCGTCTTTATGAAATTTCGTAAACTTCGCGAACTCGTCGGCTCTTCCGAACTCCTTCTCACTCCTCTTCTCGCTCGATCGAGAATTTGACGCTTATCCAGTCGCATTCACCAAGTTAAACCGTTCCTCCGCGGCTCGCCGTCGCTTCATCCCCTTGAACAACGCGAGATACTTGAATACCTGCGAGATTGAATTAATTTGCGAAATTGAAAATGCGAGGTAAGCCATTATTCAATTTTCATGCCAACGCGACACTGTTACATCTGCGCGATTACTTCAAACCCCGGGCTGGCAGGTCCGACAGGAAGTAACATTTCACACACGCTCGAGGAGAAAATTAATTCTAAAATGAAACCTGAAACTTTGTGACAAATGTGAATGCCCTCGTATATAATCTTCGAGAATCGAGGTAAGGCTTTCGTCGTGTTATATTTTCAAAGTGTTAATTACATGCTAATTTAATGCGTCACGTCTAATACATAATTTATAGCTATACACGAGAGAAGCGTAAACTTGTAAGTCGATACCACGTTTGACGCGCTCGCATCGAGGAGGCGATACAATGCGACCGAAAAGTCGAAAAAATTTCAACAAACCGGAGTGAAGATATTAAATTTATATCTTCCGTTTTGTCTATTCGGACGGTTGAAGATGAAGCGCAGCATCGCGAGACCGGGACATCCCGCGGAAGCCCGCGGTGGTGGGGATCAACGCATCAACGGCAGAACAAACACGAAACGCATCCACAAGAAATAGCTTATGCGACCAGCCGGGGGGGGGGGAGACGGGGATAAACAAATAAAGGACACAAAGCAACCGTTCCGTGGGGTACACGTGTAAACCCCACGCGACGGACGCGCAGACGAATCGGCATCAGCGATGAGATTCATCGTACCTTCCTTTTGCCGCGGCCATATCACCCTTGTTCTACGCCTGACGTATCACAGCTTGCTTGCTCTCTCCTCTCACGCACTGCGATGGTGCGAGACACCACCACGTGTAACATCGAGACTCTCCGTGAAAGGAATACCTCATTTTCCTTATTTCTTTTATTTTTTTTTTTTAGCATATATAGCAGTAGATATATTTTTCTCAATACATATTCTAATATGTTCTTGCGCTCGCGGGTAATTAAGAGCAAACTCGTTCGAACAAAGAACTAGAACGTTTTAATTCATCTACTTATGGGTTTGTGTAAAATTCGCTTGTCGCAATTAAGTTCTTACGTCGCGAAATTGCTACGCGTTCGTTCGAGTGACCGACTTCTTCAGTTTTTTGTTATTTCCGTTGCTTCCCGAGACAACACCCTTTTCTCTGTTTCAAATCTGCATTTCGAAAGTCATCGATTTTTCTGCAACGCGCAAAGGCAACAAAAAATGTATATTTAGTATATATAAGTGCATAATGCAATATACAGAGTGTCTGGGATGTTTTGGAAACGAAAAATTGTGAAGATTAATCAGGTCAAACTGAAAGAAGAAAAGTCATGTACTATCTTGCGGAAATCGTAATAGTGTAATTAAATTAATAATTGAAAATTATTGAAAATAACCATATCTAGAAGCTCCTTTAATTGATAACTTGAAGATTTGCGTACTTATTTGAAAAATAGTTATATAATTGTAGATTAGATCATTCTGAAGAAAATAGTCCTTTATCATTTTGCAAATAAGTACGCAAATTTTCGAGTTATCAATTAAAAGAGCCTCTACATAGTCATTGTGTATATATATATATATATATACAGTATTGGACAAAAGCATACACCTTTCAATAAATTGAATTTGTTGGTGTAACTATTCTTTTAAGAAGCAAATAAATTACACAGCCCCACAAAAAAAAAGTGCTACTCCACAAAATATAATATATATTATATGTTGTGGAGTAGCTAAAAATAAGAGACACGTATTTTTTTATACGTGCCCAATTTCATATTTAGGGGTTAAAATCATCCTTACAAGGTATATCGGTATACCTGGTTTTCAGAGAGTATATTTCTAAAACTATAAAAAAGATACAAAAAAGTATTTCAGATAAAAGTTGTATGGTTTTTGACGCTCCTTACAACTGTGTAGTTGGATTTCTTAAAAATGTTATATTTTTTAACATATTCACCTCCCACTATCTTTATTTTTGCAAATTGAAAATTTTTGCAATGACAAGAATTGTAGCATTTTTTAAGCTGAATTCAACCATATACAGCTTAATTTTGTTAAGTGAAGTTATGGTCAGTTTTTTGAGGTTAGGGACAATAAAGCTAGCAATTGTCCAATTCTGATCTCGGATTCGGATTCAGCGGATCAAAATACATAAGAATATACTTGTCCGGTTTTAGGCACTGACCACTTTTTTTTTGTGTTATTAGATACAGGAAAATGAAAGCACTTCAAGGTATTTAAATAAAGAAAATATGAAATAGTAAAAATTGTGCTCAATTTTTTTGTAAAACGTTTATTATTCAATATTGTTACATTTTGCCTTGGACAAAATAAATCATACACTTTTAGAAGTAATAGTCAATAAACAAATAAAGTTAATTCCAATGATACTTAATACTTAGTGTGGCCACCTTTAGCTTTTAGTACTGCTTCCAATCGGCGAGTCATACTCTCGACTAATTTCTTCAAGTATTCAGGATCAACTTTCCTCCCAGGCTTTCTGGAGTGCTGCATAGTACGATCTTTTGTCAGTTACGTTTATTTTATTCACATTCCCGTCTAAATAAGCCTACATATT